TAAACCAGGTCTAAACCAAGACTTAAACAGAACTAAACCAGGACTAGACCAGGACTGAAACAAGACTGGACCAGGACTGGACCAGGACTGAAACAAGACTGGACCAGGACTGAACAAGGACTAGACCAGGACTGGACCAGGACTGGACCAGGACTGGACCAGGACTGAACAAGGACTAGACCAGGACTGGACCAGGACTAAATCAGGACTAAACCAGGTCTAAACCAGGACTGAATCAGGTCTGAACCAGGATTGAACAGGACTGAATCGAGTCTGATTTGAGACCAGCCCTGATCAGATCCAGATAAGGACTAAACCAGGTCTAGACCCGGTTTCTCAATGAGTTGTATATTTTCCGCTTGTGCAGCCTGAGGTCTGTTTAATGATGAGCTCATGATGAAGAGCGAGACTGCGGCGAAAACCACAGGAATCTGCCTCCGCAGCAAATACTTCACACCAAACACCCCCAAAAACCACCCCAGAAACTGTAACCTCCAAAAAAAACACCCCAGAAACTGTAACCTCCAAAAAAAAACACCCCAGAAACTGTAACCTCCAAAAAAAAACCCCAGAAACTGTAACCTCCAAAAAAACCACCCCAGAAACTGTAACCTCCAAAAAAACCACCCCAGAAACTGTCACCTCCAAAAAAAACACCCCAGAAACTGTAACCTCCAAAAAAACCACCCCAGAAACTGTAACCTCCAAAAAAACCTCCAAAAAAACCACCCCAGAAACTGTAACCTCCAAAAAAACCACCCCAGAAACTGTAACCTCCAAAAAAAACACCCCAGAAACTGTCACCTCCAAAAAAACCACCCCCAGAAACTGTAAACCCCAAAGACTAACCCTCAAAAAAAAAAAAAAAACTAAAAACTAAACCCCTAAAAACAGTAACCCCTAAAAACTAACCCTAAAAAAAAAAATACCCCTATAAACTATACCCCAAAACTGTAACCCTAAAGACTAACCCTGAAAACTGTAACCCTCCAAAAAACCCCAAAGGTGTAACCTCCAAAAACCACCCCAGAAACTACCCTCCAAAAATCACCCCGAAAACTGTAAACCCTCAAAACTAACCCCCAAAAACTGTAGAACCCTAAAGACTAACCCTAAAAACTAACCCCAGAAACTAAACCCCAAAAACTAAACCCAAAAACTAAACCCCAAAAACTGTAACCCCCCAAAAAACCCAAAAGTGTAACCTCCAAAAACCACCCCAATAAACTGTGACCTCCAAAAACTACCCCCCAAAAATCACCCCAAAAACTGTAAACCCTAAAAACTAACCTCCAAAAACTAACCCCCAGAAACTAACTAACAAAAATCACCCCAAAAACTGTAAACCCTAAAAACTAACCTCTAAAAACTAACCCCCAAAAACTACCCTGCAAAAATCACCCCAAAAAACTGTAAACCCTAAAAACTAACCTCTAAAAACTACCCTCCAAAAACTACCCTCCATAAACTAACCCCCAAAAACTACCCTCCAAAAACTACCCTCCCAAAAATCACCCCAAAAACTGTAAACCCTAAAAACTAACCCCCAAAAACTACCCTGCAAAAACTAACTCCCAAAAACTAACCTCCAAAAAACTTACCCCAAAACACCCAACCATACCCCCTAAAAAAACTCATTTACCCCCCAAACTAACCCTAACCTATCGCCTCATATTCCCCAAACCTGAAAAACCCCAAATATTATTGACATTTATTTTAAACTTTAGGACCAACGGAGCAGATTGAACCTAAACTCATCAAACCAACAAATATTCAACAAATCTTCAACAAATCTTCAACTGATATTCAACAAATATTCAACAAATATTCAACAAATATTCAACAAATATTCAACAAATATTCAACAAATATTCATCAAATATTCAACTGATATTCAACAAATCTTCAACAAATATTCAACAAATATTCAACAAATATTCAACTGATATTCAACAAATATTCAACAAATATTCAACAAATATTCAACAAATATTCAACAAAATATTCAACAAATATTCAACAAATATTCAACAAATATTCAACAAATATTCAACTGATATTCATCAAATATTCAACAAATATTCAACTGATATTCATCAAATATTCATCAAATAGTCAACAAATATTCAACTGATATTCAACAAATATTCAACAAATATTCAAGAAATATTCAAGAAATATTCAACAAATATTCATCAAATATTCAACAAATATTCAACAAATATTCAACTGATATTCATCAAATATTCAACTGATATTCATCAAATATTCATCAAATATTCAACAAATATTCATTAAATATTCAACAAATATTCAACTGATATTCAACAAATATTCAACTGATATTCAAAATATTCAACAAATATTCAACTGATATTCAACAAATATTCATCAAATATTCAACAAATATTCAACTGATATTCATCAAATATTC